TAATGAGTGGATAAAAAATAACTGGAATAATATCAAACGTAAAATTTGCATACTATAAAATTAAAAAAAAAAAAAAAACAAAAAGAAATAGCCACTCCAAATTATATTTGAACTTTTATTTATAATAATTGTTAAGAAGTTATATCTATATTTAAATATATTTAAGTTTTTTATCTTTCAAAATCAAATTTATATTAAAATATTGTTGATGGCTTTCGACAAGCTACTGCGTAGCTTATAGTTCATACCAAATAAACTTGTAGTTGTGACATCGATGACGCCATTTTTAAAATTGTTATCGCCAACCGTGAAAATATTCGGCGTCGGATTGACTTAATTGGAATTTGAATTTCCCGCTAGTCATTCAGTTGGTAACACCACTTCAAAAAATGTAATGTTGCCAAATTAAATTCTTGACATTCTGAATTTTGATTGCGTTTTGACAAGTTACTAGTTTTTGGTTCAAGTGCTATTAATTGTGAGCTAGTTTTTCAAAAGCAGCTTGTAGTGCGAAGTGTACAAGATGCCGAAGCAGCTTAACAGCCGTTGCAAAGAACTAATCGCATCCTTGTTAGAATATTTCGAACGGAAACGCGATAATAATGGCCCTTTATATTCCTAAAATTAAATGCTGTTAGGAAGGTGAGTTTCCAAGTCGTTGATGTATTGTGACCAAATAGGAATTTTCAATTTGAATGTATTGATTCTCTCATTTTTAGCGCGTAGCAGAGGCTTTGAACTTAATTATGTCCACTGTCTGTGCTATTTCAAAGGCAGTCAAAAATAACGAAGTTTTGGAATCGCCTTCTAAGAAGCGATGCACTTCGAAGAGAGTCTGTGATGTTTCAAAGCTCGATACCAGTGCTATACGCAGGCTATACGTAACACTATTTACGAGATGTATACAAAAAGTAACTCGTTTGAGACAAAGGTACATAGATAGGTATAATGAACGCCTTCTTTCTTCTTGTAGGACAACATGTAACATTATCTTGTATATGGGAGCAATTGAAAGCCGAACAATTATTTGATGGCCGTTGCATGTCATTGAGTAGAATGTTAATAGAAATAGGCTTCAAATGGAAAAAAGATGACCCAAGACGAGGGCTCATGGAACTTCCTGATATTGCGGTTAAACGGATATCATTTTTGAGGTCTTATCTAAGACTGAAAGAGGAGACTTTGTACCAGTTTGTTTTCTTGGACGAGACTTGGATTTTTCAAAATGATACTATTAACCGCTAGTGGCGAAACAACAACAAGCGAAGTGTTAAAACTACCAAAGTTGATGGTAAAAGGAAAGGTGAATATAAACATGAAAACAGAGAGCAGTTGTATTATATGACAAATGAAATGCTTTTTTTCAGATATATCATACTTCATGCTGGCAATGAAAATGGATTCATTGGAGGTGCATCGCTCGTATTTTCGTCGAAAACTCAACTCAACGACTATCATGGGGAAATGAATCAGCAAAACTTTTTACGTTGGTTGGAAAATCAGCTGCTGAAGAACTTGAGTGAACCATCTGGTATTGTTATAGACAATCAGGCCTATGATGTATCAGTTTCTGTTATTTTAACCGCAACATTAAGTTATGTGTCACTGTTTATTATTCTACACGTAAAAATAGAGACAGGTATAGATTTTGAGCTATAACACAACTTTTAAAATAACAGGACAAGATACATCATAAGCCTGAATACCCGATTGAACTTATTTGAGGAATTGCAAAAAACTATTATAACTGACATATTGGCAGAGATGGTTATACTCAAGATTTTGTTTAAAAATGTGGCGAGATTGGGCGAGAGGCACTGGAAACTGTTACCCCTAAAATGTGAAGTGGTATAACAGGAAACAAGTATGGAGAGGCAAGCGGTTCTTCCACTTATTATCAATGTTGATGAAGACTCTAGCGATTTCAGTGATTCAGTATAATTGAAAATATTCTTGATGGTTCAAATATTCATAATATTTATTTATTTATAGTATTTAGAGTGGCTGTAAATAAAATAGGTACTGAGCTTTACTATTATATTTTATGTGATTATTGACAAATAAGTTGTTATTAAATATCTATTAAGCCAAGTTTTGAAACAATGTTAATAATTTAAGTAATAAATGTTTGCATTATATCATAATATAATTCATTATTGTTTCTGAAAATATTTTGACCAAAGGAAAATATGCAAGAGACGGCAACGCTGTGCCGGCCGAGCTTGACAACCCGACTATAAGTTTATTTGGTATGAACTATAGAAAGCTGTACCATATGTGTGATATTGTATTGTTTGTTGTTAATAATAAATAATAATAAAAAAAAAATAATAATATTTGTTTTAAAAAGCTTTCAACAATAGGAAAAAATAGTTGTGTACCTCGCTAACATATAATTGCTAGTAGTACGATTTGAAATTACATTTCTTTTTCAAAACAAATATCCCATGGTTTTGACATGTGGCAGCGTCGCTTCACTTTTACTTTTTCATTATATTTTGACAAATTTTGACATATTCCATTTTTATTCAATAATTTGAATCAGAGATTGAAAATTTTCTCCGTTCAAAGCAAAATGGTTTTATCTTGTTGTGTGGCAATGTGTGAAAACCGAGGGAACAGAGTAAAAATTCATCGAATTCCGAAAAATGATGAACAGGTATGTTTCAATCCCTACATTGGCCGAGTTCGTTTTTGTCATCTTTTTCGTCGATTTGCTCCGAAATTTTGACAGGCACGTGACTGGATAAGACAGTTTCAAATTACAAATCACGTGCCTGTCAAAATTTCGAAGGAAATCGACGAAAAAGACGACAAAAACGAACTCGGCCATTATACCGAAATCGGGATTTTACCTTCTGTAATTTTACCACTGTAAATTTCTTTCTGTTTAGGTGTTCATTTTATGTCTGCAAAACGTTTACAATCAAAAAATCTTGCTCATTGTAGGTACCTATTATTGACTGTATTGATATCATACTGTAGTTAATAAAGTAATTCAAAATTGTTATTTTTGTATTCAATACATGGATTAATTAGCATGTAACTCTTCGGTTTGTGATCAAGATACTGTTTATCATAATTTTATTTCCACTAGAAACATATTAAATTGTTCAGTGCTAGTGGCAATAAGAAATGATAAACGGATCCTAAAGAAAAAAAAAAAAATTTAAAAAGGAGCGCTTCCCGCGCTCTCAAGTTGCTGACTACACACGCGAGAGGGCGCTGTAATCATGAACAAAATGTTTGTATTGAGTTGCCTATCTATATTATAGGTTCGAGAGAGTTTTGCATCCCTTATCTATGGAGTTAGCCTGCTGATTGTTTTTGTATATGCTGTGTTATAAATAAGGAACTAGACAACATATATAAATGGTGTAATGCTAATTTACTTAAACTTAATGCATCAAAAACAAAATTTATGTTAATGTGTAATAACTTGGAGTATAATGACTTTAAAAATGCATTTTCTATTAATATTGGCAACTGTACTATTGAATCAGTAGAAAAAATCAAATATTTAGGCATAATAGTAGACCGAAATATGAATTTTAAAGAACATCTCACTTATATAAATAATAAAATTGCTAAAAATACTAACTTCTTCGCAAGGGTGGCACCGTTTCTTTCTCAATGGTCGAAAAGCATAGTTTATAATACTATTATTCTACCCCACCTAACATTCGCATCTACAGTTTTATACATGGCTAACAAAAATGAAATAGATCGCTTGCAAAAATTACAAAATAAATCCATGCGTATTCTACTAGGTATGCCTAGGGATACTCCGATAAAGACACTTCTACGAAGCTTGAACTGGTTATCGGTGGAGTATTTTTTGGAGTTTCAGGCAATGATATTTATCTTTAAAATGAGAAATGGTATGACACCTGAATATCTCAATACAAAATTAGTTTATAATGAAAATGTTCACAATTATAATACTCGTACAAGAACCGACCTACGTGTAACTGTAAAATCTAAAAGATCTTCAGAGAGGTCCGTCTTTCATAAGGGATTTGTTGCCTATAACAATCTGCCAGGGGATGTTAAAAATTCTGACAATCTTATTTCATTTAAAAGGAAATTGAGGATTCTTTTGCTGGGCGAATGTCATAAATAGATTTTAAGTGAGTAAATGTGTGTTTTTGGCTGTGTTGTATTGTTTTTTATATATTATCTGTTTTTTTTTACTATGATTTTTATATTTTTATTCTATCGCGAATGGTAAACTATCATTTAATCGACTCAAAACTCGTTGTAAAAGTAACACTTTATTTGAATTAGTGAAATCGAATAATTTTTACCAACTCATTTGTCAATTTTACCCACTCATACGTCAATTTTACCCACTCGTTCTCTTCTTTTATAATATTTATAGTGTTTTTGACAGAAATCTGATATGTTGCATGATTGACAACACCAGAAATGTGTCAGTTTGTTAGGTACTTTGTCAATTTGTCATAATTTAACACATTTTAGTTTATGATTTCAGTAATTGTGATAAATAAAAAGTGGCTCAAGAATAATAGTACATTATATACCTAGGTAGAGAAGTTGGTCATTATATACCGAGCGCTTTTATAAACCGAGACGCGTAGCGCCGAGGTTTATAATGCGTAAGGTATATAATGACTTTCTCTACCGTGGAATATATAGAATTTTTTTTACTACTGCTATAGTAGAAAATAAAAAATAAGTTTGAAATCTGAGCTCAAATTATTTTTTCTAGTTGAAAGTGCTGCCCTCTATCAACATCTATGGTAATTTCCTATGATACATACAGGAACCTGTTTTTTTGATTAAATTGACAGTTTGAAATCGAAATTAAATCAATAGAAACCTGTAACGTTATGACAATATCGTTGCATCATGACGTCATTTTCATTATTGACCTAGGTTTTTTTTCATTATTTTCATTATTAACCTAGGGAGAGAAATTCAATTTTTTCCGAGAAAAATAGATTGAATAATGACTACTTCTCAGGTTAGTAGTAAAAAAAATAGAATATTACACACAACGGTAAAAAAAGCTTTACCTGTTCGTGGAATTAACCCACTCGCTCGACGCTCCTTCGTCGCTCGAGAATCAACATTTTCCACTCACAGGTAAAGCATCTTTTTACCGTCTTGTATAATAAATAACTATTATTCTTGCTTTTATGATTATTTTTATTTTTACCGACATGATATGTATAATATCTTAACTAGGACCAGTAAATGTTTATTTATTTATTATATTTATTATATTGCAAATGTAATTATATTTAGTGATTCATTTGTAAATTAGTTGCTGAAGCTAAATAAAGACTCATATATATATATCGCCTCTGGATATTTTTTTTTTTTAATTTTAATAAAATTCTCGATATCGATGATTTTCGATATATCGATATACCAAAAACATTATTGCCATTTCTAGGTCAACATGTCAAAATTGTCAAGCAAAAGCGGAGAATCAACTAATGATGTGTCATTCCAGTCCAAATAATTTAGAAAATCATCTGTAAAACAAATAATAATAAATTAATCATCAAATCGTTTCTGTGTGCTCTCCAGATTTGGCACGCAGATAAGATATGAACCTATAACAAAACATCAACAATTCTGTGTACCCGGTGTGGAGTGTTTTGCAGCAAGGCCAAAAAAAAATTAGGGTGAGCAACCTTTTTTTTGTTAATTTCTTGTTTAAAATATAACGTTCATTTTGCAGTAACATGTTTTCGAATGGAATCACTTGTAATCTTCCGTTTAGTTGTATGAGCGTAACTAGAGACTCGGGTTCAGATGAGCTCCTGCCGGCCAGAATGGCCAGGGAACCTGTCCTGTTGAATGTTTACGACATGTATAAAATGAACGAGTACACGTCGAATATAGGCTTGGGAGTTTTTCATTCTGGTAAGTTTTCGAGAAAATTGACTTTAATTCATTAATTTATGGTCCTTTGTCAAATACCCTCGCAAGTTTTTATATAGGTTTAAAAACCAATGTTTTGTGAACCACAAAAATGTGCTTTATTTCCCTAAAATTTATAGGGACTGGATGCTCGTCCGATAATCGGAATAATCAAATCAAGTCAAATCAAATATACTTTATTGTCAGATAAAAACAGTTAGTTCCATAGACAAAGCAGTACTTATAATAAATTAAAGGCCCATTTATAAACTTGACGTTGCAATTCCGTTACCGTTTGCGCCTGCCGTTGTGAACATAAAAATATAGGATTCCATAAGATCATTTATATTCGCCGTCGGCCTCACCGTCCGCCGTTAGCTCTGCCGTTCCATTCCGTCAAAAATAAACCAATTTTATCTTTTCCGTTGCCGACTGAGTTGGGAGAGGGGAGAGATTATTTTGATTTTTCGAATTTTAAATTTTGTTTGGGTTGATGTTAATTATTATCAAATCAGTAAAATCACCACCAAAACTTCTAAAATCGTCCAAATCACTCATAAAATGACAAAATGAGGGCACACGCACAAAAGAGGTTATGTTTATTATTTACTTTTTGAGAACGTCAAAGGGCAAGTTTATAAATTGTCCAATTTTTGTGGCTGGAACGGCGGGGCTAACGGCGAGCCCGTCTGTAGGCGCAAACGGTAACGGAATCGTAACGTCAAGTTTATAAATGGGCCTTTAAACGGTACCTAAATCTTAAGCCTAAGTTAGAAACTAAAATGAACAGTAAAAAAAAATAACAAACAACTAAGTAAGTAGCCAAAAAGAATTAACAATCAGCGCAAAAAGACAATTAAAAACAAACTCAGAGCTTGAACAAACTAACAGAAAATAAATAAAATCAACATATAGTTTAAAAAGTTTACATGAGGGAGGTGCAAAGTTGTTTATATGCAAATAGTGCAGCCAATTATAACAAATAGCAAAAGTAGATGGTAAAAAAAAACATAACAATAAAAAACTTAAACAGGTAAAACAGTAAACATCAAATATGTAAAACAATATCTACAAATAATCATCGTCAAAAAACTCTGACAGATTATAATAAGCCTTTCTCAGGAGCATCTCTTTGACCTTTGCCCTAAATGATTTTTTTCTACTACCATGCGTAAAGTACCCACTTTATGCACTATTTAGAAGACATAAAATTTCACTTCACGCACTAGTGCGTAAAGTAATTCACTTCACACACTAGTGCGTAAAGTAATGTCAATGACAGATGTTGACACTGTCAATTTAGTATTTTTCTGGTAAATCACTTCACACACTAGTGCGTAAAGTGAAAATACTTCCCGTGCCAGTGTGTAAAGTATTTGTGTGAATCTATTTTTTGACACATATTTAATTGGTAGTAGAAAAAATTTTGTATACAATACGTGCGTAAAGCACCTTTTTTCACTCATGTGATTGTCAAAATTCACATTCATGAAAAAAGGTTTACTTTACACACTTGTTGCATAAATAACAATTCCGACTGAATGTTTTTAAGATCAGCAGGGAGCTTATTAAAATTTTTATACTGCGGTACATAATTGAGTTTTGTGTCATTCTATATTTTGGAATGGGTAATGGTATGGTATTTTGATTCCTAGTTTGATACACTTGACTAGACTGGAAGTTTTTGTATTTCTTGTGCAGAAGAGTAACTGTTTTCAATATAAAAAGACAGGTTTTATTTATTTATTTATTTATTTATTTATTATGGGATAACCCCATTAAGAAAAAGTATTACAATTGACAAAGGTAGGTAAAACAACAAAAAACAATACTGTACTATGCTACTGGAAAATAAGTTAACTAAATATGTAATAAAAATAAGTTTAACTTCAAAGAGAAATAACTATAAATAAATTCAAGAACAATGTTATATTTATTTATTTATTTATTTATTGAAAATGTATCAACAGCATAGGCCAATTACAGATACAGCTTATGTCTACCCTGTAAAAAATAACATAAAATTACAGACCAGGGGATTATGGAATTTTTTGTTGCACCACTATTCCCTGATCGCAATGGTACATACACAAAAATAACAAAAGTTTATAAAGTACATACTTAATTAGAGGGGAAATAAATTAAAACAGACAAACTAACAAATTATAAAATTATTCGATGGATCTCAGCTTATTTTCAACGAATTTCTTAAACTCACTGAAACTTGTTGCATCAATGTCGATTGCAGAAGCATACAAATTGAAGTAATGGCACAATCTGTAAATAGGCGAGCATTTGTAAAGATTTGTGCGAGGATAGGCTAAATAGAAAACATTAGAGCTTCACGAGTCTGGACAATCTATGTTTCCCTTGAGTATACGAAACAATGTGCATAAAAATATCTTAATTCTTCTTTTACTAAGTGACATCTTGTCAAAAATTCCTAGGAGGTACTCATTGTCACACCCTCTCCGAGGATACTCTCCAAATTTCCTCAAATACAGGCACTTCAAGAATCTTCTCTGCACACCCTCGATGAGTGATACCCAAACATTGTACTGAGGGGACCAAATTATTGTACCATATTCCAGAATCGGCAAAACAAGGCTATCAAAAAGATGCAAGCTAACCTCCACACTAAAACAGCTGGTATTTCTTGCAATAAAGCCTACAGTTCTTTGAGCACTCTCAATCTTGGCAATTATGTGATCGGTAAAAGACAATGTGGTGTCAACAATCACACCAAGATCTTTTTGCTGACTCGCTCTGTTCAATCTGACATTATTTAGAGTATATTCATACCTAATAATCTCTTGCTTTAGGCTAAAAGTCATACAAGTACATTTACTCACATTTAAATTGAAACTTTCAATGTCACACCAGTTTGCAACTCTACAAAAGTCGCTCTGTAGGGTCTCACTCGAATGAAGCACTTGAAATCATCTGCGAACGATAGTCCTTGTACATTTTCAAGGTTGTTAACTATGCTGTTAATGGCTGCCAAAAATAGAAGAGGTCCCAGGTTAGAGCCTTGAGGAACGCCTGAAGAACTTTAAAAAAAAACTGATTTGCTACCCTTAACTTCGACAAATTGGAATCTCTCATTCAAGTACGACTGGATCAGATAAACTAGGTATGAGGACACATTTAGGCTCTTAAGAGATTCCAATATCTCACAATGTCTGACTCTATCGAACGCCTTCTCCATGTCAGTGTAGATGACATCCACCTGAGATTTATCGTTAATGGCTTCATGAACAAATTGGCAAAAGGTTGTTAAGTTGGTAAATGTAGATTTTCTGGGCAAGAAACCATGTTGGCAGGATGCAAGATTACCTGAAATCTCATCGAAAAGTCGTTCAAAAATAATTCTTTCGAATATTTTTGAGACTGCACTCATGATACTTATGGGGCGGTAATTCTTTATTTCATTTCTAGTCCCAGTTTTATGAATAGGAATAATTTTAGAAATTTTCCATTTGTCAGGGTATTTCGAAGTATTTAAAATTAAATTGAATATAATATTGAAAGGTTTTAAAAGATATTCTTTACAACCTTTTAAAATATAGGCGGGAATTCCGTCAGGGCCGATTGCCCTATTTGCCTTGATTCTCCCGATTGCCCTCTCAGTCTCATCAAAAGTGATAGGCTTACTACAGAAATATGACTAGGCTTACTACAGAAATATATACCGATTTAAAAAAATTGGCAAAACCGTCGGCCACACCTTGGGATCCTGAATAGGTTGTCTCATCAAGGACCATTTCCTCCAAGAAATCAGGAGAATCTTTTAGAGTTTTTAGAAAGGACCAGAAAATTTTAGGGTTTGATTTAAAGCTTGCTTCTATATCACGAAGGTATTTGGAATGAGCAAGTTTAACCTTATATTTGACAACGCTCCTAAGAGTAACATACTTATGTCTCCAATAGTGAGATTTGTATTTTTTTGATTTTATGAAGAGCCTATATTTTTGTTTGAGAAGCTTGATAATTTCTTTGCTAAACCATACAGGATATTTTTTATCGACCTGAGTTGCCCTAGGGACGGATTTCTCGAAAATATTATTAAGTAGTAAATAAAAAGATTCCAGTGTCAAATTGACATCGGTAAGGCCCTCCAAGTCATCCCAATCCTGCTCACTTAAAAGTCTGTACATTAATAAGAAGTTTGCCTTTTAAAGTTAAATTTGGTTGTCGAGCTGACTCTACATTATTCAATATCGTTTTTAGTGTTAAGGCACAAACCAAGGCACGGATGGTGTCCATCAACCGGGAGTAGGCTATCATTGGTTTTAACTACTTGGACACCTTCAAAAGAGGAGATGACAAGATCGAGAAGAACATTATTGTTATTCCTTACTTGATTATGTTGATATAAATTATTGAAGGACATGAAAGACTTAAGAATATTCAATGGGCCATTACAAGGGAGCGAGTTTACATAACTTGGAATATTGAAGTCACCAACAATGATGTATTCAGACTCAGACCCACCCCTGTCAGTCAGATTACTTTCTATTTCATCAAAAAATCTCTCGTACGAATCACTTGCACTATCAGGCACAAAATATACAACTATTACATACAAAAAAGAATTCATGCTCAGTTTTATTTTGACACACATTGCCTCCTCACCATCATCAAAAACTTCCTCCACAGTCGCAATTAGGTTGCTCTTAATAGCTAGAAGTACACCACCACCCTGGATTTTATTGGTCAAAATTCTATCTCTATCTTTTCTAAAAACTACTCTATTGTTGAAGCTGCACTATGCATGAGTAATTGAATCATTCAACCACGTTTCTGTCAGAGCTATCAAGTCATAATCATTAAGCAAAATACTAGATTTTAACTGATTTAATTTGGTTTTAACACCCCTGCAATTTTGATAATAAATTGAAATGCTATTATTTAAGTATTCACCAGTGATTCTTGTGTTTGATGAAAATTTATATTTGAAATACTGGATGAAATTATAGAGAAGTCGTCAGTGAAGGACAGTT